TATTTTACCACTTTATCGTTCAAAATATGAATGTTCATTGGGGTTCTTTCCCGATTTTTTTTCACTATTTTACCACTTTAACTAGTTGTATAAGTCATAAGAATGTATCCAACATGTTTTATAAAAGTTCAAGAAGTTATTTAACATGTTTTGGATTGTTCAAGGATTTATTTGTTCCAAAAATTGTCCAAGGAGTTATTTAACATTTTTTGGAATGTCCAAGGACTTATTTGTTCCAAAAATTGTCCAAGGAGTTATTTAACATTTTTTGGAATGTCCAAGGACTTATTTGTTCCAAAAATTGTCCAATGACTTATTTAACATTTTTTGGAATGTCTAAGGACTTATTTGTTCCAAAAATTGTCCAATGACTTATTTAACATATTTTGGAATGTCTAAGGACTTATTTGTTCCAAAAAATTGTCCAAGGACTTATTTGTTCTAAAAAATTGTCCAAGGACTTATGTAACATGTTTTGGAATGTCCAATGACTTATTTATTCCAAAAAAAGTCCAAGGACTTAATCATTCCAAACAAGAAAGTCCATTGGTTTTTATTGTACTTTTCTCATATATATATATAGGGTATAGGTATAGACTACTATTTTTATTTTTATTACTGCATTCATAATTCTAATTTTATGTGTAAATTTATTTCATGGTAGTTACAAACGAGGGTAAACGTTGATGATCAAATGTACGTTAGCTATTGATTTGGTTGTAGGAATGTATAAGAATTACATAATAATACACCTATATATATATAAATGCATCTTTAAATGGATGTTTACAAGAATTCCCATACGAATATATACTTAAATTTCTTTTCCTACATTCTTATGTTATTTAGTTTTCTTATTTAAACTTTCATCATTGAATCATGTTTGATACAGGGATCTATCCGATGCATCTCATTCTAATGTCCATTCAACGGTGAAAATCTTTTATTACGATTCACATCGGAACCCAACCCCCCCCCCTCTCTCTCTCTCTCTCTATATATATATATATATATATATATCATAATGATTAGTAAAATATATTAGTTTTTTAAAGGAAATGATAATAAAATGATAAAAGTCTAAAATATCCTTGACTTAACAAACTTTTGTCACAGACTTTACCTCTAGAAAGTGCAACCACATCATCAACAACGATCATTAGTGGACGGAACCAAAACTGAAGCCAGAATGCAAACTCTGATGATAAATTTGTATTGAATGAATTGTAAATATCAAAAGCAAGAAAATTAGAAAAGTGCAAGGACCAAAAATGAAGTTCACTTTATTAGTTTAATCCCTTCTTTATTCAAATCGCTTCCAAAAATGGTTATTATATAGTAACACAAAACCTTTAAAATAGAGTGTAGGAGATAGAATGAAATCGAAATACATGATGATTTTCCTCTTTATCATCTTTCTACAATTCATTACTTCATCAAACTCAAAATCTATCATCAAGAATCTCCCAGGCTTTCATGGCGATCTTCCTTTCACTCTTCAAACTGGGTACGTTTTTGTTTTCATTTTCATTTTTGTTCTCTTCGGTTTCTTCTTGTATTTATTGCCCCAAGACAACTTATACCAAAAGCTTATTTTCCCATTGTTCTTTGTTTTCTTTTTATGTTAAAAGATACATTGGAATGGGAGAAGATGATTCTGTGCAAGTTTTCTACTACTTCGTTGAGTCACAAAGAAGCCCGTCGGATGACCCTCTTCTTTTGTATCTCACTGGTGGCCCCGGCTCTTCTGGACTCTATCCGTTCCTCTACCAAATTGGTAATTTCCTTATATTGCATACTTACATAAGCTTTATACTATTCTAAAGCACAATCTTGTAGCATGWTGTTTTTATTAGTGGTTTTTATGGTYAAGTAGTTTATGTTTGAAATCTTTTTCTCAATATTTAGTTTTAAACGCATAGTTTATTCAAACAATGCGAAAAGGGGAGAAATTTGAAGACCATTCCATCAGTAGTAGGCCAATTGCAAAACCGATGCTTTTTACCCATTGCTGCATTTTTATTTTGGAAATGAAACGAGGGAAAGAGAAGAAAATGAACAACCTTGTAAAGTTTTTTCTTGTTGTAGTACTTGAGTCGAAAAGATAAAGGAATAAAGTTGACTTTTATATCATCATCAAATGTGCTTTAGARTTTAATAATATAACATCTCAAAATCATATTTGCATAAAATCCACATATTCCATATAACATGAAATACAAATATACACATTGGTCTCAAATGTACAAATTGCTACACTTAAAAGTAGCTACAAACTTTTCGAAGCTTTTTCTTATTCTTTTCAATAATAACAAAAAGATATTTTAAAACACRCACACATATATAATTAAAAGGATGAGCGGTGAATGAAGGAGATATTTTAAACAAATTTCCAAAATTCACCCTTCAACTTTCACCACTTATCCTAAAACAACCACAAATCTTTTAACCACAAACCCGATTATCAGAAATAAATTGCTTGATCTAGGATTTGATCCAATAATGTTGTAGCGTGCAACCTTTTCAGATTCTTGTCACGTTGACACTAATAATGAATCATATCTATTTATTATAATTAATGAGCGATATATGTTAAGACATCGGTACCACTGATGATCTATATGACGAGACGACAAGAATTCTTTGATTCAACCAATCCTTAATTCATGTGGTCATTAAAATACATAAASATGTCCATTTGTCCTATATGCTTAGATTGAACATGAGTTTTGGTGTGTTTTTGAGATTTACTCGAGCTCGATCAATACATCTGTTGACATTAACTTAAGGTGACGTTTTGGTCCGCACACTGTTTTTTAATTTAGGATAACGGAAGGGAATAKAATGAAATTCAATTTMATTCATTTGCTATTTGGTTCGCGTACGTAACTTTATAATGGAAATATAAATCATGACAACTTATAAAGTTATATTTTAGTCATACTTTTAGTATTTTTTGCTCAATTTATAAATATTAAAGATGGATCAACCAACTAACATCAATAAAGTAATCCTTTTGTAGGTCCATTAAGTTTCAATTTTGAAAGTTCAAAGGGCGATAACATTACATTGGAGTTGAATCCATATTCGTGGTCTAAGGTTCACATTCTCATTCTATCCAAATSTTTACTTTTAAAATTAAAATTCGACTTTACACATCATTTTGTTACATAAAAAATGTATATATCTTTTATTGTATGTATGACGCAAAAATAATTTTGAAATTTTTTGTAGGCTGCTAATGTGATATTCGTAGATCTACCGGTTGGCGTTGGGTTTTCTTATGCTAAAACATTGGAAGCATCAAGGAGTAGTGATTCCATTTTAGCAGTACAAAGTTATGAATTTCTAAGAAAGGCAAGATAATTTGTTTCAAAATGAAACTCTTTTCAATTCATTACGGAAGTAATTTTTTTGTTATGTTGCTTATTCAATACTTATGTTGGTATTACRAATTATTGAAGGTATGRTAGTAGCTACTTATTTACTATAAAAATTATTGATGAAACTTTGTTTGTGTGTTTAATAAGTGATAACGAATATGTGAATGCAGTGGCTTGTTGAGAACCCCAGGTTTCTGAATAATCCATTGTACATATCTGGGATTTCATACATGGGTATTGTCGTACCAAATGTAGCTTTGGAGATATACAATGGTAAGAACTTCTATTCTATTACAAGATGCACCTTCCTTCGTACATCGATCTCTTGATAAAAAAGGCTCGACTTTTTATGTACCATTCTCTATTTTTGTAGGCAATGAACTTGGAAATCAACCGCAACTCAACATTAAAGTAAACATCTTACCTCATAAACTTGTTAACGTTATTGCTAAAGTATTTGGTTAGTTCATGTACGATTAAATGAAATAACTTACTACCAATTTGCTACAAAAAGAAAATTCCCATGCTTCAATCGCTTAATCGGGGCCTATTCTTGATTGGAAGTTAATAATGCTTTATATTCTTACCAGGAAACTAACCTAACCAAATCAACATTTTGACCCAAAACCCGATTGATATAAATAAATTTGGTTGACGACATGAATTAACATCAAATTAACTAATATGCTATCCCCAATCTACAGGGATGCCTAATTGTTAACCCTCTCACGGATAAGTTCATCAGCTTCAATGCAAGATTTGAGTTTGCTCATCGCCTTGCACTTATATCAGATGATATCTACGAGGTAATAAAAATATTCTTAATTATCAACATCATGACACATCTACTTGCGAATGAAAATATGTAAGTTTTGTCGTAAATTGTTTGAATTTATGTTATATTTCAGTCCACAAAAGCAACTTGTGGTGGTAACTATGTATACAATGATCCGCTGAACATCCTATGTGCGGATAATCTTAAACGGGTRGATGAGGTACACATATATCATTCTTACAGCAAATTCTTTACGATTTTATTGTAACATAACTTTAGTCGAAATTCCCAATTGCAGTGCACAAGCATAATTACGTTTGGGAATATATTGCAGCCAAGGTGTGATGCAAGAGACATGGAGCCAACTTGTAAAGTAATTTTTGTTTCTCATTTTTTATTTTGCTTGATATAATTCGTTTATCACTCATACTTTTGTAAATTAATGAGTTTTAATTACRGTTTCTCAAAATTTTGTTTAGACATATACCGACACATTTATAGAAACTTGGGCAAACAATAAAGATGTTCAGAAAGCTCTCAACATTCGTGAGGTACATACGTTATTCACAATGAGTTTACGACATAATACGCTATTTACTCAATAACAATGGGTGTGACCATTAGAAGAAAATGTCCCTCATTTTACCCTATGTTTCRACAGTATTGAATATTGTTTTCTTTTCATGTGCAGGGAATAATTGAAAAGTGGGAGACCACGAACAAGAGTATCAGTTATGATTTTAAGAAAAACGACACCATTTATTACTCCTACGACGTCTGGAGCAGTATTCCAACCCATAAACAACTTCTTACCAAGAACTGTCAAGTTTTGATCATATGGTAAAACCAATTAATACTCTTTCAATTTCAAATAAAACCATCATTCAATATCGTTTTAGAAGAAGTTCAAGTTTCCCATTTTAGTCTTCATATATATCTATATATATATATATATATATATATATATATTGAATTTTGAACATATTTTGACTTGCAAAGTTGTGACTATATATTATTTTGTATTGTAAAATGAACTCAAATTTCATTATCAACCAAAATCTTTTGAATTTCAACTTTTAAACTTTTAGTAACCGGTGACAACAATATGTAAATATTATATTTCAATCGACAGTGGTGATCATGACATGGTGTTTCCATACGTGGGAACTGAGAAATGGATAAGGACTCTTAATCTTYCGATTGAAAGCCCATGGGAACCATGGTTTGTTCGTAACCAAGTTGCAGGGTAAGCTGAGAATTCAAGTATTTTTTGTTTTTATTATATTTATTTCCTAATTTTGAATTAATTAAGAATCCATTTTGTTTCATGAAATGGCATACATTATTGAAAACTATATATCATGGCTCATGCAAAGTGGTTGCTCTTCCTTTTTGTAGATACCAAATGACATATGCACAAAGTGGATCCTCCATAAAATTTGCAACTGTTATGGTAGGAAACATGGCACACCTGTTTGATTAATCGTTTATATATATATATATATATATATATATATATTTTTTTTGTATCTCGTTGCATTGTACGGGTACTCTTCTAATTATAAAAAATGAGTAATACATTTATGGATTGATTTTTGTTTTGTAGGGTGGAGGTCATCCACTGGCAGCGTACAGCCCTGAAGAAGCTTTGGTCATGATGGATGGGTGGCTTACTTCTCATGCTTACTTAAGTGACTCCTAAGCACAAAGAGATTAGAGTTTTCATCCATCTTTATTCATAACTAGTGTTCGGTCCTTATAAAAAATCGTATATTTTATTTTACTTGTTTATTTTTTAAAATCTATTGTTAGATGGAGTATATTGCAAATTTATATGTAATATTTATAGTGATTGAAATTGTAAGTTCCAAATAATTACTATTGTAAAATTTGGTTTATAAAGATTGGTTTCAAACTTATTTAGTTAAAAGTTGACAAATAAATCAAACGAGATGCATAGTAAAAGTTGTAATTCCAAAATACTACAAGGTTACTTGTTACCAATGCATTGATTTACGACCACAATAAACATGTATATATTATATTAGCAACTCCTCTTTTTGAATGGATGTATAGCAAACTATAAGCAAATTAATTAACAATGGTACCTATCGAGAAGAAACACACACACACACACACACACATACATGCATACATCAACAACCTATAACTTACAAAAGCATAAAAGGTGTTACCTAAATTTATGGAGGAAGAACATTAATACTGATGAAAAATAAATTCTACAAAAGTGAAACAATAATAAAAAACATATAAACTCATTCAAACATAAGATAAAACTAATAGTTGTTAAATCCATTTTGACGGAGCATACCATTGTAGTTTACCATTACAAATAAATTATAAAAGATTTAGTGAAATTATATTTACCCTTGTCATTAAATTATAAGATAAATATGAACCTATATATAAGATGGATTGTCATTGGTTGAAAATGGTTAACAAAGTTAATACAATAAACTTGGTATCAATGTTCTCTCTCTCTCTCTCTCTCTCTCTATATATATATATATATATATATATATAGAGAGAGAGAGAGAGAGAGATATTTGTTTAGAAATAAACTTGTAAAATTAAATAAAATGAATAATAATAACAACGGAGGTGTGGATAATTTATGAATTATTTGTCTGATTGATGTTGAAGTTTTTTTCTTTTTAAAAAAGGATGATACATTTGCCGATTTTTATTAAAAAATAAATAAGTATACATCTAAATCACACTGTAACTAATTATATGTACAAAAATATGGTAAATTGAAACTTAGTATATAAATAATATGAAAATATATTAACCGATCATTAATACGTATAAATTACTATAGAAAATAATTTATTGTTATAAGACGAATCATATCTACAAATACTCCCTCCGTCCCAMACTAAGTGTCCCTGTTTTTATTTTAATTTGTCCCAAAGTAAATGTGCACTTCCAAAAAAAATAATGTCTACTTTCAACCTCTAATCTTAATTATGAGATAGAGAATTCATTAGTCTCTCAATTATGAATGATATAATTATCATTTAGTTAATTAAAAAATGTAATTATTACACATTTATAAAATTGTGGATATGTATTTTAGGACTTAAACGTGTATTAATACAAATTTCAAAGTACAAATCAATAAATAAATGTTTTTAAATACT